TTGGAAAATGAATTTGAATATTTTGTTGATTTTGCATTTGCGATTCAAGTATCATTTGACGATCTGTTATAATTCGGCCGAAAGCCCGGGAAATTCCTATTTTTTGAACTTTATTATGTAAATTTTGGACAGTATTTATTAATTCTTGTGGTGGATCTTTTGGTTTTGGACCTGTACGTAATTTTGGAATTTCAATTTGATTAAAATTAAGAGCGTTTTTAAAAGTTTTATGTGATATTGTGGGAAGAATTCTTCCATCTGTTAAAGGGACATTTTGGAGAACGGTTTCGACGTTAATACCGCTTTGAATTTGTTGATTAGCTTGATTTAACCATTCTAAATCAATTAAATCGAAGATTCTACCACTCATTTTGAAAATTATAAGTTTTGAAAAAAACCGTAAATCATTATTGAATCTAAAAATATTTATGTACAAAAAGTCGGTATATATTCTATAATTATTTAAAATAATGAAAAAGTTGATTTGTGAATCATTGAAATATTAATGCTGTTATATATATATATCAGATGATATAAGATGATTTTTTTAAATAAAAAATAAAATTTAATTTTTTAATTGTTAAAATAAGAATAGTAAGCTTGACAAGTAATTTAAGTTTTTGCTTTGTAAAGTTATTTGGTTGGCAAATGCATTGTGTCACTTTTTGTTTGAGTTCACTTTCCGTAATTTGTCTTATGATATTGTCTTTTTCGTGAAGGCAATTTTCATGCCTTCCGATAAAATGATTTAATGTATTCTTCCATAGGAAAATTTTTTTCGTTGTTTCAATTGGAAGCATGATAATAAAAGTGAACCACTTAATAACTTTCGAATATATCTGATGAAATACTTTTTCTTGGTGTTTTAATGGTCTTCCACGTTTCTTCGGCTCTTCTGCTTTAGATTTGATTGGGAATGCTGGCTGTGATTCACTTTCTTTCTGTTGATTAATAGTTTCTTTTCCTGCTGCTTCTTTATATCCACCATTTTCAAGCTTTTCGAAAGCTCTGCCAACTGCACGTACACAATGACGAGGATCAAGTGTAATTTTAGTATTCGGAGCAGATTGCTGGATGATGGCTTTCGTTTTATTGTCATTGTCATGAACCACTGTGGAAACATTTGTAAAGTCAAAATTTGACATCATCCTCTTTGTACATTCTGTTTTCATCATGTTGGATGGGCCTTCAAAGTCTCCTCCAGAGCTCTTTTTTATAACAGTTGTTTCACCAACAACTTTTCCACGGTTGTCCATCATTAAACTTTGGCACGCTGTAGCATTTCTGCCAACATTATAATGCGAATCAGTGCTTAAAAATGTATCTTTCTTCATTGTTTGTTGAGCATTTTTAATAGATTGCTCTTTATATTCTAGTATTACCTTACCTATTTCTTTTTGATGACGGTAAAACTCTTTTTCACTCGGCACTTTAATATTGTTATCTTGAAATAAATTCCTTGCTCGAGTATAAGAGTCACCATTAACAATTACAGAAGCAGTCCAGTGTTTTGGATCGACTTCCTTTGGCGCATTCTTTTCTTGGGAGTTTTTTCTTGCTTCAATTGATTTTCCGTTAGCTTCACGACTTTGTTGTTTGCGTCTGCTTTGTGGAGGCATATTACGTAAATGGTCGGCAAAAAATGTAATAAACGTAGTGAATAATTAAAAAGATTGCTTTATATAACAAATATAATCATTTTTTCCTTAGAAATCCCATTATTTGCATAACAATATTTAAAAATATTTTTTTGATATAGTTTACAGTCACATCAATATGAACTATATTAAACTATCAGAAACTTATGTATGTTATTAGTAAAGTTGAAATTTTTATCATATTTACACATTAAATTTAATTTTCATGCATATTTAAGTTTTTTTCAACACAATCTTGTATTGTTAGTACCGACAATATGAAAGAAAGTTATACTGTATTTAATTTTAGCAATAAACAAAAAAATCTAAATTATATCTTTAGATACTAGGATTGATTTAATGACTAAGAACGTTTTTATCAATAATACCATGATTCATAACATATAGACATAACCTAAATATACCAAAGCATTTCTACTTGGAACTAGCGCATCGCCAAAATAATGGGTCAATATTCATTTGACGTAATGCTGATCGAGAGAAGTCTTTATATATAAGCCTTATCACAATGCCACGAATGCACCCAGCTGCAGGCGTGTCTTGTTTAACATTCATTCCTATATATGATGGAACATTAATCAATAATCATGGAAGTATCACTTTTCAAATAACATCATTGTTAAATGAAAGAAAATTGTATGCAAAATTACATTTTGGTAATGGTGAGACGCAATATGTTGAAGTATATATCATTATTATTTAATATACAAACAAACTCTAGTACAAAATTGTATTAATTCAACTTTCATGTCTAATATAAAAACTTTTTTTAAAAAAAGAGATATAATCGTGTATAATATGAGAAAAATGAATATCAATACAAAATAAAATATCAATTAGCTATTGCTGATGACATATCATGAATATTGATCATTTGATTTGATTAATTTTGATAAATATTAGGCTTTTTGCTAGTTACATATTACAATAAGGCTTTTAAATGGATATTTATTGATATGAGCTTATTTCAAAATGACAGTCTTTGATTTATCCACTAATAAGATTTGATGTCACAAAAATCTAGATTTTGGGGCATAAAAACCTAACACCAAATCATAACTTCTGTGCATATACTAAATTGAGTACAGAAATATGTTAATTTTCAGTATTTTTAGAAGAATTCTTATTATCCTTCAAAAAGTCAGTATTTCTGCTGTAATTTTCTACAACATTGTAGTTATTGCACTTTGTCTATGGATTTATATATATGTTATATATAAATTATATATCTAAACTGCCCATAAGTGCAATTTTTATATAAATTGTTTATTTCTTTAACAATTTCATATGAAATATGCTTTTTTAAGCGTATCAAAGCTGTGTTCTTAATGTGCATGGATATATCAAGAAAAATGTCGATAAAAAATATGTGAATTCACAAATTCAGTGAATTTTCGCCGTTTTTTGAATTTTGCTACAGCACTAATATTAAATAATACTAAAATCTTCTGTCTTTGTAAAAGAATAAATTCTGACAAAAAGTGCTCGTTTAAATTTAATGATCATCTGTATGACTAAGTGGTAAAAAGTGTTTATGATCAAAAAAGGGTTACATGCTTAGTCTATTTTTCTGACAGGATACTCTAGATTAACATGATCTCTATTTCATATCTCCGTTTTTAGATTCTTCGACAGATTTTATGATAGAAAACCAAGATTAACAAATTTCCGGCATGTTAATGAAGAAATCTGCAGCTACCCTCAATATTATTTCAATAATCAGTATCGTTTCTCTTACAATTTATTTTTTTCTCAATAATTTAACAAGAAATAACAATACACACTTGGTTTTACGTATAAAAGCTAAGTGTCGAACTTAATCAACTTTACTTACTTAGCAAATGAATATTTTTGTGGTTGCGAGTTCTGAATGCTGAAGTTTTAGATTTCTCTATAAATGATATCATTGCACTTACAATGTTGTTCCAGCCTATCGCATAAATCATAGAAAATCCAAAGAGTGTGGGATAAACTATCCTGTGTCACTTTTTATTAACCTTATTTAAAAAATTAATAAAATAATAATAAAAAATTATTTGAATCTTTTACATTAATTGTTTCTTTTTTAAAAGTACCTTTAAAGTACAATTGTTGTAAACAGAAATTCATCAAAAATGACACCTCAGAAAAGCTAAAATATTGAATTTTTGGAACTTTTGATAGAGCACGTTTTTAAATATTAATTAAAGTAAATGTATATTTTGTAAAGATTCTTTTTAATAAAAAAATAAAATTTTGAAGAAGAACACAAAATCTTCTGAAAAATAATATCACATAAACTCATATTATTTTCTAATATATAACTATTTTATATAAAAATCAAATTCAATGATCTTAAAAGCGAAGGATAAACCTCAAAATTTACGAATATAATGAGTGGGAATATAATGCTTCTCTATCATAAAACCATATGAAATATCAATTTTTGCTTTACGCCTAATTTTTGACGACAATTAGCAAAAAATGTTAAATGTTAACACTCAGTCCATTTGAATATGAAAAATAAAATTGACTTTGATTAAATGTTTTTATTTATCATGCAATTCTTCTTGCGACCAAAGATTTGAATAAAAGTTCAAAAAATAGATAGCTTAAAAAATAATATACGGTAGTGTTTACTAATAGATGAATAGTATATAAATTCTATTAAAATGGATTTGATCCAAAAAAATATAAAACCAAAAATAATTGTTATAATTTAAATGAAGAAGTAATTTAAAACGATTTTATTTATGATCAAATTTTATATATTTTTTTGGATCAAATCCATTTTAATAGAATTTATATACTATTCATCTATTAGTAAACACTACCGTATATTATTTTTTAAGCTATCTTATTTTTTGAACTTTTATTCAAATCTTTGGTCGCAAGAAGAATTGCATGATAAATAAAAACATTTAATCAAAGTCAATTTTATTTTTCATATTCAAATGGACTGAGTGTTAACATTTAACATTTTTTGCTAATTGTCGTCAAAAATTAGGCGTAAAGCAAAAATTGATATTTCATATGGTTTTATGATAGAGAAGCATTATATTCCCACTCATTATATTCGTAAATTTTGAGGTTTATCCTTCGCTTTTAAGATCATTGAATTTGATTTTTATATAAAATAGTTATATATTAGAAAATAATATGAGTTTATGTGATATTATTTTTCAGAAGATTTCATTCTATATGCCTATGAAAAGTACTCTCAAAACTAACTTTTTCCTAATTATAATTAAATCTAGAATATTGTATTATGCTTAGTATTATTTCATTTTTCTCATTCAATTTAGAATTTACAAATGTCAAAAAATTGAGAGTTGTCACTTTTGATGAATTTCTGTTTATTACACAATAAACAAGATTTGAATCTATTGATTCTTGTTGCAAACTTGAATATATTGCTTCAAGCATTTTCAAACATTCGACTTTTTTGTTTTCCAATATTTGTTCATGGTCATTAGCTTTTCGTAATATACGAACAACTTTATCACTATTGATTAATTGAACTTTAAATTTAATCAATAATGCTGGAACAACCGTTGTGTATAATTCAACAACAAAATCTTCTAATTGAATATTCCTTCTCTCTGGGAAATAAGAATGCTTGAGAACTTTGAAATGTGACTCACTGACGTTATTAGTCGCGTCACCTCCGTTGCGATAGCGCTTATTCCAACGATCTAAATGATGCCTCCATTGCCTATCGAAGTACTTTTGGGCTTTCGGTTCAGTGGAAAGAATTTCAAGAATTCGATCATAAACTGCATCTAGGTCTGCAGCTTCTTCTTGAGTGAGGTGCTCTGGAACTTCTTCACTTGTTTCAAACGTTTCTTCTTCTGGAATAAATTCAGAATCGTTTGGATCATCAGAAGATTCTCGTGGTAAAAAGATTTGAGAAGGTTGAAATTCATTTTCGATGAATTCTTCTTCATATTGTTCCTCTTCTTCAATTTCTTCTGCTTGAAGTAAGTGAGATCGAGCCGGTTCCTCTCTAGGATTTTCTTCTTCTTGGTTCTGTTCTTCCTCGGGAGATTCTTCTTTAGTATCGAATACTAATAATTTCATTAGATTATAAAATTCTTCAAAATTGTCTCGTGATTTAAACTTATCCGCTTTTCTTAATATGGCGCGAAGGACATGCACGCCACACCAAAGAATATGACAGTTTGGAATACCTCGCTCAATTGCCTCGGCTATTTGTGGGGCGCAGTCCATACTTATCATCTCGGGTTCTCTATTAATATATTGAAAATAACGACAAACACAATATTGAATATTTTCGCTTGTGTCAGGAGAAATAAAGAAATACAAAAAAGGAAAAACAATAGTATGTTCTGTTTTTCCTGTGAGTGCATATAATGGAATGTTAGCCCTTAGAAGTTTATACGTTGAATCGATGTGAAACGTAGAAATTTGGTGACCAAGGGCCTTCGCTTCGAAAGGTGCATATAAAAAACTAGTTTTCCCGGCTCAGAGATAAATTCAATTAAATCTTCTGGACAACTTTCTTGAACAGATTCGACAAAGATAGCTAAAGAAACTTTTTCATCCGAACTAAAGCGTTTGGAAACAATTTCAGCTCTTTGAGCAAATTTACGTAATGCATCTGGACCTTGTGCAAATATTGAAAGTAACTCTTCGTCTGTATATGAAATATTTAAGTCTTGGAAACACTTAAGTTGAGCTGTAGCATGATTCATATTGTTTTCAAAGTAATGTTTAAGATAATTTCTGACAAATAATGAGGATATTGTTTTTGTTGATTTCGGAGGTGCAGAATGATCATGAGAGTCAGAGTGGATTAGTAGTTCATATTTATCTTGATCTATTATCCGGACTTTGAATTTAGCTTGACATTGTGGATACTTACATTTGTATTCGATCGTGGAGTATTCTTTCCTGCATTTTTGAGAGTAGCCCATGCTAGCTTTTATCTCTTCTTGGATACCAAACTGGAGGAGCTCCATAGTATTGAATATCACGGGCTCCATACAACAAATTGAATAAGGTATTTCAAAATTTGAAGGAAATGGTCCATCATTGAATGTAGTGGCCGGGAATTGAATGACATACAGATAGTTTGAGGAAATTTGTTATAATTAAGGATGTCAATTTGGAAGAAAAGTGAGAAAATTCCTAAAATGCTAAAAATGAATTTTCCAAACGTACTTTTTTATCTCATTTTTTTGATTTTGAAAAAAATTTGGAGAGAAGAACTCTTCGTTTTTGAATTTTATCACGATGGTTTTAAAGTATATTAGACACATGTATTGATATTACTATTTTTGTATATTTTGAGAGAAAATCCCTAAAAATTGAGAAAATCTAAGACGGTTTGAGAAAATATATAAACTATTAAAAATTTGAATTAAACTTCTAATTTGGAAAAAAGAAATTTGGAAAGAAGAAAAATCAAAAATCGAGATTTAGACTCAGCATCAAATGGAGAACAAAATGTTTCTTCATATGAAGGGAAAAAATTTTCTTGTGAACAAATAGAGTTTTTAAAATTTTATTGTATGTAATGAAATAAACAAATATTAAAATTATTTTTTGATAACAAGAAAATTCCCAACAGAAAATATTTGAGACAAAGAAAAAAAGAAAATTGAAAAATATTACTCTCCTTTATATTTCATGAGATTTTAATAAGGGTTTCGTTTTGCGAAAAAAACGTACAATACGCAATTTCGCTAAAAAAACATTTAGCTAGCAATTTCGACCTTTGACTCCACTCAAGACGTCACTTTTTTAATTTTGCGGTATCATATTTTTGGAAAATCTTTATGAATATTATATAAAAAGTCTCTTTAATATCTATATTTCATATTTTTATCGATTTTTAAAGTTTTTGCGAAAAGTATTCAATTATTTTTGCTATTTGGTCGGGTAAATGTCAGATTTGCGACATTTTCTGATATAAAAAAAAAAAAAAAAAAAAAAAGGTAGTGGGGCTTCCAGGCACTTCGTGCCCTCTAGCCCCGAAGATGTTTTGTATAAATGAAGTTTATATTCGGAGGACTCTTCTTCTTCCTCCATTGCTTCTGGGAAGAAGCCTTCTTCTGGGTCGAAAACATTATATAATGTGTCGCTTTTCACAAATTATATATGTTTTCATGGTTTGTCACTTTTCTGTCACTTTTCGGGTAAAAACATTTTTATTATTATATATAAATGAATTTTACAAAACCACCGTTACCGTTCTTTGGAAATAAGAGTAGATGTAAAGATATTATATTGAGAGAACTTAAGAAACTACCGAATGGTCTAACATTTGTAGATTTGTTCGGTGGAAGTTTCTATATATCCCATTTGTGCCATATAATATTCCCAGACTCAAAGATTATATGCAATGACTTCGACAACTATATGGACCGTCTCAAACATATTCCAGACACTAACAAAATATTGAAAGAGTTAAAAGAAAAGATACCTATAGGTAAGATGGAACGTATACCATTAGATAACAAAAATATTGTGAGAGAGGTTTTGAAAAAAGCAGAATATATAGACTGGAATAGTATATCTGCTAGACTATTATATAGTGGTGCTATAAGAGTTCATGACATTGAAACACTTATGTCAAAAGTTTTATATCTTAACTATACAAATGTTTTCAAAGAGGACATAGATAAATATATTGAGGGTATAGAGTTTGTGAGATGTCATTGGACAGATTTGTATGAAAAATATAAAGACAAGGAAAATGTTTTCTTTATAGTGGACCCGCCGTTCTATAACACATGGGATTTTCAATACCAAGTAGACTGGACTTTGAGAGACTCTTTAGAAACTTTAGACGTTTTACATAACCATCCATGCTTTTACTTTACATCCGATAAAAGTGGTTTGGAAACCGTTATGAGATGGTTAGGAGGACATACATGACTATGAGTTTATATATGACAAGATAGAATATGAGAGAGGTCCTATAAACTGGAGAAAGTGTCACAATAAAGAAATTTTATTAGTAAGTAAATGTGGTTTGAAATAGGACTACTTGTTTTAGGTTTTTTCCATTGTGTCATTTATTTATTTGACGTGGCAGAAAAGTACAGAGAATATGAAGATGAACCAATGCCTGCAAATGTTCAGTATATGTACTCGTAAGAGATATTTTATTATCTAATATTAAATGGACGCACAGAATTAGCGAATGCACAGCAACCTGGACAACCAAACCCAGAGAATATTCCAAATGAAGTTAGAATACAAACTGCAATGGCAAACTATGGTCAAGTGCCAACAGATGTACAAATGCAAACTGCCATGTCAAATGACGCTGCGTTAGGTTTGCCACCATGGTATGCAAATATGAGATGGAAAGAGTTTTATACAAACCCTGAAGTGGGATATAAACAACTTTATGCGATGACGCGAACACAGGAGTTGACCCAGAATAGTTTCTACCAGAGGAGAAACAGAATGTATGAGCTCCAGTTAAAGAATGCTATGGAACTCAACAGGAAACGTAAAGACTAGGCGGACATTAGATTTTTACATATAGTAAAATGGGTTTTTTTCAGTAAGATAGGAAACTTCTTTCGAAATGTTGGAAGAGGTATATGGAATGGAATAAAACCGTAGGAAGAGAATTTGGGAACGGTGTCAAAAATATTGGTAAAAGAGTAGGTCAGTTTGTTGGTATTATACCTAAAGACCCTGAACCAGAAGAACAAGCTCCTGTTATAACAACAGCCTGAACCTGCACCACAGTCTAGTTGGCAACCAATCCAACACCTCAACCGTATTAAAAAATTATATTTTTACCGTTCGATAGTAGTTGTATATGAAACTAAGTTTCTAAGTAAAACGCATGGTATAATGGAATTATTCTTTTTCTTCCATCTGTAGTAAAAATACTTGAAAGTCTGAAATACTTCCACTTGGTGGTTCGTATAACTTGTAGGTTTTTCGTAAAAGTATTTGCCAAGCATAAGAAAGAGTTTTGGGCGCCAGAAAATGAAGCATGAACAATAATAGCAGCTGGGTCGAAAACATCTTTAAATAAATATGGTTCATCTCTTGCATATCGACTGTAAATATTTGCTAAAGGAAGTTCGACTTTCTGATTTAACATTCTTTGCAAATAATACCATGACATTGCAGTGAATTCTGTATATATTTGTTCGTCTTTCTTTGGATTGTCTTCGTAGATTTGAAATGACACTTGGAATTTTGTTTGTTCATATACAATTCTCACATAAAGTGTGCTCTCGGTATTTGCATATTCATCAGCATATTTTGCATAACATGAATTTATTTTATCTTCTATATTTTTAACGCAGTCTGTAGAGAAGATGAAAGGTCAACTTGTATTAGCTCAATTTCTTCCCACATTTTTCGTTTCCCTTCAGATATATAATCTATATGAAACCTTACAATAAATGGAAAACTTTTATCTTCTACAGACACAAACTTCATTCTACGAAAGCCAATAGCTTTTGTGACAGATGGGTCTCTTAGCCATCTTAATGGGTAGTCAAAACGATAGCCTTCATGCTTTACGGTCTCTGTCTCAAACTTTTGACCGACATTAGTAAAAAGTTCATCTAATGGTTTAGTTGTAGCAACTCTTGAATTTTCTTTTTCTATTGGAAGCATATTTTATCTAGAATAAAAATGTCAAATGAAACAGCGTCTATGAGAGAAATACAACACAACCGACAACTCATTATGCAAGCTCTAAATAAGAACACAACAAACTTTTCAAACTATTCTAAGATATCTGAGTCATTGAAAGAAGGAAACTTAAAACTGACATTAAACCCAATGACAGATGAGTTTCTGTTTCAAGACAATAAGAACCATACTGTCTGTATAAATCCAACAAAAGGAACTTTAAACGAGAAACCTATAAATGAACTTCTTTTGAAAGCAGATGTTGACAACAAAGCTGACAAAGAATATGTAGACGATGCAATAGCAAAAGAAGAAGAAAGAGCTAACAATGCTTATGCAACAAAAGAACATACTCATCCTGAACTAGCAGACAAAACATATGTTGACAATAAAATGTCAAGTGAAGTGACAAGAGCTGAAAACGAATATTCTAAAAAGACTCATACACATTCTATATCTGAAATAACAGACTTAAACGTTAGCCTTGAAAAGAAAGCAGATAAGGAATATGTGGCTAGTAAGTTAGAGAAGAAAGCGGATAAGGAATATGTGGATGAAAAAGATAACGAAATGAAAGAAAGGGTTGACTGGTACCATGAATG